CCTTGGGCTGAGTGGATAAGGTGTGAGAAGCTGAGCCAAGTATGATGGGGAGGGACTTCGTGAACGTGATGAACAGCAAAACTCTGAGGTGAATGGCAGACTCAGGAGATCTCAGACCAGGCTTGAGGGAGGCCAGTCTCTTCCAGGGCCAACGAATGGCACAGACCTAAACCTCCACAGTGTACATTTAGATAAAAGACAAAGTTAGAATCCACTGGAACATTTGCTATGTGCCAGGAACCTTTTTCATATTTTCACTTTTCAGAATGAACAAGCCCCGGGAAACAAGGTTTTGCTTAAGGTTACAAAGCTATTTAATTAAAGTTGGGACTGAAATGGAGTGCTTTTTGGTTTCTGGGAACTGAGACAGATTCATCCGGTAGATCGCCAGCCTTGGACTCTCTCCAAACACTTTGTCTCCTGTGAATTCCTAGAACTTGGGCCTGGTTACTCATCTCTCTGGTTTCAGCTTCTTCTGTGAAGCCAGCCCACGGCCCACCTTGCAGGATCCGGTCAGAGAGCTAACAAAGGGACTAACTAGTGTCCTCCCTGGCTTCCAGGAGGACCTGACCATAGCCAGGTGGGACATGCACCTCTTCTGAGAGCCTTGAGAAGGAAACCCATCCAGGCCCCCATCTCAAGGGTGTCTGGAATGAATCCCCTCTCACCCTAACCATGCCCACCATGACTGGTGAGCTCTGCCTTGACGCACTGGCTGCCTGATGCCCGCCACAGAATGACCTCTGGAAGCAACCTGCTGGGAACACTAGCAATAAAGCTCAATGCTCAACTTTTTTCTGGAACCTTGATAAACCCAGTCCTCAGCTAGAGGAAAGGTGAGGGGATGATGGCTTAGACCTGGCTTAGGCCTGGCAGAGCAGTAACTATACAATGTGTCCAATATCCGGGTGCCAGCTTACCCTGCCTTATGGAAAACTATCCAGGGAGCAGCAAGGTCCTTCTTGGCTCACCTTGCTGGCCCTCAGGCCCTTTCAGGCCCACCCCAGGTTCCTCTCAGGGACTGACTGAGCACACCTTCTGAAATCACTCCAGTCTGGTGTTTCCTTTAAAGGCTGTGGACTGAGCACAGCCACCTCAGATGGGGCCATGGAGGACTAGCCAAGCCAACCAGAGCGGCTTCCCAGCCTGCCTGGGAAACATGTCATTTTCTATTTGCAGCATCACGGATGTTGACTTTTGATCTCTTTCTTTCTCCCTCGGGGCCTCAAATCAGTGGTGACAGCAATTTCATTTCTTTTTTACTTTTCCCTATAAAGAGAAAATGTCAGGAGGAAAGGAGGTTTTGAAAAAAAAAAAAACAAAAAAAAAACGGGAAGAGTTTCAGACCTGAAAGAAGGCACTCACTCGGTAGTGAGAGCCTGTGGCAATCATGTGATCACACAGTGGCTAGGTTAGGCGGTTTCTGAGGTAACACTTCTTAACTTTTAGGGTGTTTGTAAATCACTCAGGGTGCCCTTTTAAAAAAAATTGACCAATTTATTTTAAAACACACGTACACACAAACATATATATGGACTGATTGTATCTAGAACTTTGTAATAAATTATATATATATATATATATATATATATATATGAGCTTAAGAAAATTATTATAAAATCCATTTCATGTTCTGCAGTTTCTTTTGTAAATTATTTTTTATTTAAATTTGACACTTTTGCACATGCATGTAATAACTGTGAACATTTCTACCCTCCTGTCCCCCATTCCTTCCTACTCTCCGAGCTCCCTTCCTGATTTGTCTCTTCTGAATTTCTTGTCTTTGTTCAGGCCTTGTGCAAGTAGCCATAGTGTCTGTGTGTTTGCAATCACATTAGCCATTGTGCCCCGAAGACAACATGCCATTGAACCCCTCTCCATCCTCCAGTGGTTACAATCGCCTCAACCTGTTTTCTGTCTTCCTGTCACCCAGGGATCTTGTGGTCACGCAACTCAGACTCGGTATCTAATGAGTCCCAGCACGAGGGCCACACGGCTCCTCTGGGTCACACTTGGAGGAGGGGGTGTTCCTTGTCTTGGCCTCACCTGGTCTTAGAGCAGTGGGGTGTCCCTACCCCATCCCACAGCTGGGTATTTACAGGTGAGGCGCTGGCCACATAATCAACAGACACTGTAATCTCATTAAAGCTCACACTTAGATTTGTATCCCTCCTGTTCCATTCAAACAGAGATTTTCTGATACATATGCACTGGATAACAGCGCCTTCAAGTGATGAGCTCTTTCTGAACCCTTGGGTGATTTCTTTAATTATAATTTTCGAGATCATAATATAGTTATTCTCCGTCTATAGAATGTTACTTGTACGTTTTCAAGGCTGACTATTTAGTCTTTAATGACCAGTTGGTGTGTTCTTCCCTGGGGAACACTATTTCTCTATTTCTCCAGCTTTCAGCACTCCTAGTTGTCTGTAGATCTGTCTGAAGTTGAGGCCTCATGGCCTTTCCCCTTCCATACTGGCGTATCTATTAAGTCTGGCTCAACAGTGGGAAATGAAGGCTGGTACTGGATACCTAGTCAGCTACCTGGGGCTAGTGGAGTCATGTTGGAAAAGAACCAACCACCATCATTTACTAAACCAGTGTAATTCCTGACTACACTCTAAATATTTATCCTCATACCCCCAGATAAGTGTAGTTCTCAACCCACATCAAATAAACGTCTCTTTTCAACAGACAGAGACCAGTACAGAAAATCCCACCTCATCAAAACAGAGTTGTGGAGCCCAGGCCCAATCCATACATCTACAAAACATTCCTCTACCTAAGGCTCAGGGAACATTGTAGAAAAGATTGTATAAGCCAGAGGATCAGGGACTTTGCTGTGAGATTCTATCTTCTAGAAACGTCAGAGAAGTTACACACCCATGAACTCTCCCCAATATGGCTGCCGAAGCATGCGCAAACAAAAATGACACCAACAGACGTTACCTGGGTGACTTCTAGGAATTATGAGGCATGCTAGACCTGCTCTGCCAGGAGTCCCTACATAAAAACCACAGGCTCCAGTGAGTTTCATCTGTCCCTCCCCCATCCCTGCATTTGGAGCTGTCTTCAGCTTCCAGATCCTGGCCAGTGTTCCTGGCACCTCCCTCATCATCTCAAGTCCTAGCCCATGCAGACTCGCCTGCCCTCAAGGACCTTGCATTTGTTCTGTTTCTTGTTGCTTTGACAAAATGCCAGACAAAAGCACTTAAGGAAGAGTTTTTTTTTTTTTTTTTTTTTTTTGGCTCCAACTTGAAGCATAGTGAGGGAAGTTTGAGAGAGCTGGTCACATGGTATCCACAGTCAGGAAGCAGAAACAAAAGAACGCTGGTGCTTAGCCGAGTTTCTCCATTTCATCTCATCAGCCCCATAGAACATTTAGGGCTCATCGTCCCACCTCCATTAATTTAACCTCGAATGCCTCCACCAATACCTCCGCACACACAGACACGCCCAGAAATTTGAGTCTTAGGTGGTCTAGATACTACAAGTTGACAGTCGAGATTAGCCATCATTGATGTAGGTGTGGTTCTGAGCCTTTTGTGCTCACAAACCCCGAATATCAACAAATGTTACCCAGGCTTCTCCTAGGTCTCCGCTCTGTGACACTCCAAACAGGCAGGTGTCTGTTGGCAGGACTGACACACCCCGTGGGAGTGGCTGAGAGCCGCTGGCAAACACTTGATTGGAAGATGGAAATCTGCTATTCCCAAAGAGACACCAGAGTGAGGGAATTCAGGAAGAAATATGTTTCTTTTTCATTTTTAAAAGCTTATTGTTTGAGAACGTCATACAGTATATATTTCTAAGATTTGTTTATTTATTATGCAGACAGTGTTCTGTCTGCATGGATGCCTGCAGGCCAGAATTGGGTACCAGATCTCAATATCTATGGTTGTGAGCCTCCATGTGGTTGCTGGGAATTAAACTCAGAACCTCTAGAGGAGCAGCCAGTGCTCTCAACCTCTGAGCCATCTCTCCAGCCCCACACAATATATTTTAACACATTCTTTCCCATCCTCCAACATCTTCAGAGAAAATATCGCAATAAATGTAAAATCAGGCAGTCCTCAACCTAAATTCACCCACGGAAGAGTAAAGTAAATAGGACTGGAAAGAAAACAGCATGTGCTTTGGGTCCCTTGACATCACATCCGGACCCTGCAGGTGTGGTGTGTGGCCATAACAGAGAGCCTACCTAAGAATGCAAGGGGAGGTGGGGCCTGAGTATAGGGACGATGGATAACTCTGATCAACCTTAAGGAATCCCCAGTGCCCCTGACTTGCCTTTAATTACCTTCCAATTCTGAGGATGTTTGAAACATTTGGGCAGAATTCAGCCCTCAGGCCAATAAAGTGTGAGCAGCCACAACCTCCGAAAACCCTGAATATCAGCCAGTGTTAGCGGCCCTTCTCCTCGGTCTCTGCTCTGTGATGCTCCAAATATGCCTCCTCTTCATTCCTCACATCCACAAAAGGTTAATAGGCTTATATCCATTTTACAATTTTGAAAATAGAAACTGAGAGATTAGTCCAATACAACACAGAAACATGGGTTTGGAAATGGGGTCTCCTGACACTTCGTCTGGAGCTCCTAGCGTGATCTGTATTCTGTTCAGATACAGAGAGCTGGCGCAATGGTGCTCAGATTGGTATTATTCAAGAAGCAAAGTGATCTTCAAAGGGATTTGGGGACTAGAATGCTGTTTGAGCAATGCCCAGGCATTACCAGCAGGGGGCAGGAGCCTGCCACTCCAGAGGTTTTCATCCTTTAAAACCCTGGGTTGGAGTAGGGGTGGGGGTGCTGAGACCTTTCTTGCCCCTTAAACGTGGAAGAAGCCAAGGTGAGATGCAGGATCCCTTGGTGGGAGGATGTGCCTCCAAGGCGTAGAGGCCATGCAAGACCCTCCAACACTCCTGGAATTTGAACAGAAACAAGGCAGCCCTTCAGGCTCCACCTGTCCTTTGCTAACCAGGGACCATTTCCCTCTACACAGGCTTCTGTATCCAGGAAGAGGGCATCACCCCTTCTGCCTGCGGGAGTATGGGAGCACTCAGAGGAAAATCCCTTTGCAGACATGTGCATGCTGGTCCTTCGAGGTGAGTTCACAGGCATCTAGTAGGCAGCATCTCTCACTAGGGCGCGAGCTGGTTCACACAGGCATGGATGGTATAGAGGCCAGGGGAGTGGGAAAAGAAAGAAGGAACTGTCACTGCTTCTGTCTGGTTGGGTCATCTGGGTGTCAGCACAACATCCCAGTGCAGTCTGCTTCAGATGGGTCGCCTGTCCCCTGGGGGGGGGGGTCCTATTTGAATCTTGCGGGGAGCAACTGGCAGACCTGGGGTTTGGAGACATGTTTAGCTACATTAGCCCTCTGCAGAGTCCTCTACAGCCAAAACGGCTTAGAGCAGCAAGGCCTGCTGTGAGGTTGAGCGCGAGAACCCAGAAACCCCTTAAGCTGTCATTCCCAGTCAATACTCATCTCAGAGTCCAGGGTTTTCCAAGTTGGCCGGAGGACACAGCTTACTGTTGTTCCCTAGGTCCATAGGCCTGCGAAGCAGGTAAAGAGAGAGGCACGGCTTGGATTCTGGTCTAATAAGACACCAGATACGCATGTGCTACCCAATGGAGCAAAACTCTGTCTCTGGTCTTAGGGCCCTAAAGCCTCACTAATTTGCGCTGGCATGGGTTTCAACACAGGTCTCCCACCTCTTCTCAATGCACTCTAAAATCTCCATCATCAGTTTCATTATCATTATCAAGATATTCAAAGGTCTTATTTTGTTTTTTGTTTTTTTTTTTTTTGTTTTTACTCCCTCCCTTACCTCCTTTTAAAAAATATAAGCCACACACTGTACCTTAGGCTAACCTTGAACCCGTGGCAATCTTTTTTCCCCAGCCTTCCAAGCCCTGGGGTGACAGGCATGAGCCACCATGGTCTGGCCTAATTTGTCTTTGCAACTGCCCCGTATATTTTAGCCCAGTGATTCTCACCCTCCCTGATGCTATGGCCTTTAATACAGTTCCTCATGTTGTGGTGACGCACAACCATAAGATTATGTTCATTGCTACTTCAGAACTGTAATTTTGCTACTGTTAAGAATCATAATGTAAATACCTGATATGCAGGAAAACTGATATGCTACCCCCAAAGGGGGTCACAGCCCACAGGTGGAGAACCGCTGATTTAGCATCACATCCTTGGGTTCTTCTGTGTTGTATAGAATAGGCTGCTTTCCTAAGCAAATAATATTCCGGTGGACGGATACTGTGCAGCAATTTTATTTATCTGTTCATTGCTTGGTGGCTACTGAGGTTGTTTACACTTCTTGGTCACAGTGACTAGAGCTGCCATGAGCTTTGGTGTGTGATCATCTCCTCAAGATTCTGCCTTCAGTTCTTTTGTCTGAATTCCCAGATGTGAAACTGCTTGGCTCAGTGGTAGTTCTATTCCTAATTATTTTGAGAATCATCCATACTGTTTTCCATAGCAATCACAGCATTTTGTTATCCCAGAAACCCAGACAAAGGTCCCTGTCTTTCAGCATCCTTGCCAGCATTGACTATTTCCTGGATACACACACACACACACACACACACACACACACACACACGAGAGAGAGAGAGAGGACATTGTAGTTGTGATCTGCACTTGTCTGAAAATGACTGATGTTGAACATGTTTTCATGTGCGTATTAGTCATGTGTGTGTGTGCATGCTTGAAAGTTTATGTGTGTTCATGTGTGTAGATATGTGTTCATGTATGTGTGTGAGTGTGGAGGCCAGAGGTCAACATTGGATGCCATTGTTCAAGAGCCACACACTTTGTTTTTTGAGATCAGAGCTCTTCATGGGCTTGGGGCTTGCTGGCTCCGCGAGGCCCGCTGGCCAGCGAACTCCAGGAACCCTCGTCTCTATTTCCCCAGCACTGAGATTACAAACACACCGCCATGTCCGGTTTTACAAGAGTTCAGAGGATGGAACTTGGGTCTTCATGGTAGCATAACAAACACTTTATGCTCACATGTCTATGTCATAATTTTATTAGTGTATATTATAGAAAATCATGTGTTTATTATGATGTTTACATGTATGTATGTAGTAATCTTTGACCATATTTCCCTCATTACCCTCTCCTGTCCCTCTTTCTCCTCCTGTGGATCCCTTCCTCTTTCCAAACTTCTTTTACTTACATGTCTTATTTTCTTTTCTAGACTCATAAACAAGAGATTACATGGTATTTGTCTTTCTGAGTCTGGTTTATTTTGTTTAACATAATCATCTCTAGATCTTCCTATCTTCCGGCAAATTGCATCATTTTTTTCTTTTGGTTGAAAAAAACATAACATCTGTAAGTTTCAAATTTTCTTATTTTTGTGTCAGGTTATTAATCTTTAATTATTGAGTTATAGGAGTTCGTATTCAACATATAGACCTCACAGATCTAATAGTATAAAATTAATTTGTAGGTGTCATCTACCATTCCATATTTTCCTTTTATTCTTCAGATTATATTCTTTTGTAGACAAAAATTTTTTAGTTGGATGAACTCTCAATTGTAAGAGTTTTGCTTTTTTGTTTGTTTGTTTGTTTGTTTTCGCCTGTTCTTTTGGTGTCACATCCAAGAACTAGCCAAAGTCAACATTAAGTTTTATTTTATTATTATTATTATTTTGCATGTGGTATAAGGTATTGTCTCATCTCCATCAACTGCCCCAACACAGTTTCTTTAAGACTACCCCATTTGTTGGTCTTTATGTTAATGCCACACTGTTTTAATTGCTGTAGGTTTGTAGTATCTTTTGAATTTAGGAAGTGTGTATCCTCTGTGTTTTCTCTTCTTATCACATTGTTATTTGGGCCATGTCATAGTCCAGATTAATTTTGCCATGAATAGAAGACTATGTCTAGGCAAAATCCTGTTGGGATTTTGTTAAGGGTTACATTGACTATGTAAATCCCTTTCAGCAGTATGGGTAACTTACATTTGAACATTCAACATGAACATGTCGCATCTTTTGATTTTAAATTTTTTATTTTAGCAACTTTTTTTTTTTAGTTTTTGTGAATGTAACTTATACCATCACAGTTAATTATCTTAGAAATATCTAATTCTAAATGGAGTTGATATTTTAATTTCCTTTTCAGATTTCTCATTATTAGTTTATAGAAATACTTCTCTGGCTGTTTGGTTTTTTCTTATAATGGAACCCCTAATTCATTTTTAAGATTTAATCACATTGATATTGTTACTTTTGACCACGTCGTTGTATGTCACTGTGGTCCTTTGTTCATCTTTGTCTTGTTTTAGTGACCTTCTCCCTTAGCAATGTAGCCCTAGGTGTCTTCCAGCAAGGGACAGCACACTTTCCTCCAGAATTTTGTTATGGCCTGGCCTGTACTCAGGGGTAGGGATTCTAGGTGCTGGGGTCTGGGGTACACACAGCTCCCTGATGACAGACCTCCAGGAAGGACTGAAGCACAGCAACATCGACTGTCACTCCCACCAGTGTGACTCTCTGGACTTCCATCTCTCCAGAAAATGGCCAACCTTTTAGCTTCTCCACTTTCTGGGTTTGCTGGCTGAGTGGGTGTTCAGAGGCCACCTATCATTTTTTGATTGCTCATGTCATTTGGGTGTCTTACACATTTGACAACATTTGAGTCTCTCCTCCTGCTTATTCAGTCAGTTTACCAAGAGTATCTAACATCTCCTCTCTTTTCTATTAGCAAGAGATAAAGATATGGCTGAGGTATGCAGCCCTTCTGGTTGCAGACACATCCATCCAAACTATCATTCTGCTGTAGGTAAACGGCACTGAAATAAGTATGCACTGTTGATATAATCAGCTTCATCAGGTTCCTGCCATATGGCTGTGCTTTCCCACTCCAGAGCCACAAAGACATCCTATGCTTCCATACTGAGCTTACGTGTCACGGGGGACCAGGATGTGCTTCACTTTTCAGCGTAAAATGGAACCAGCTCCATCCCGTTACTGATCTTCAAACTCATATGTTCTTTACTGTTTTGGGTGCCGCCTCCATCGTCAATGTCAAGTGTCTCTACGTAACAATGCCTCTGGCCTGAGCATCTTCGTTTTGTTTCACACTAATTGCTCATTCCTTATGAGCACTAACATTGAATACTTTACAGTCCCATGGCCTTTTCATATACATTATAAAATATGTTTCTTTAGTTCCTAAAATTATTTGATAGAATTTTAGTTATAAATTAACTTGGAGAAAATTCATATATAAAAAAATGTTAAATCACTGGGACTGGAGAGATGGCTAGTGGTTAAGACCCCTTGAAGCTCTTCCAGAGGACCTGGGTTCAGGACACAGCAGCCATATCAAACGACTCACAACTGCCTGGAACTCCACGTCAAAGTAGCCAACATCTTTTCGTCTCCTCAGGCACCCACACTCATGGCACACACATACATACACACATAAATATAAGTAAAAAATAAGTTGTGAAAATAGCTAAATTATCCCATCAATGAACCTAGTGTCTTATTTTTCTTCTGCCCTTCTTTTGAGACAGTTTAATAATTTTCTCCTTAAAGGGGCAACACTTGTAAGAATGATTCCAGATGCCCCAGGGTTTGTTTTTGTTTTGCAATTACTATTCTGAAAATATCATTATATTCTTAAATGTTCTGTATTTTAATATATCTTCTACTGCTGGCATTAGGGAGTGACATTCATCTTCATAATATAATTGGTATCCAGAAAACTTCTGAACTTTGATTAGATCTAAAATATGTTGATTGGGTTTTGATTGTGCCTGATCAGCTTTTCCTCCTTCCTCCCTTATAGCTCCTGCTTGTTATTATTGTTACTATTACTGTTGTTGTTGTTGTTGGTTTGGTTTTATTGCTTTGGTTTGAACCATGGCAATCATAATAGGGAACTTTGATTTCTGGCATAAGCCTGGAATTTCTCAATGTCCTCCACTGGGCATAGACATTCAATCATAGCCCCATCCATTCGAGAAAATAGAAATAGAGGTCTGTGATAGTTCCTGGAAAATTAAAGTTTCTTAAACTTAGTAAGTTTGAAAAAAAAAACAGTCCATTAATGGTGAAAATCATGT